GCCTCCAATCCTCCCCTTATTGGCAACACCATGATAGTGTGTGTATGGCAGTTAAGGGGAGCGGGAGGAGTGTCCTGTGTGATCTTTTCAACTACGGTTAAACACGCTCCCTCTCCTTATAATGTCTTACTTCCCTAGCTTTGGCTGGTCTAGGAATCTGTGCTTATCTACATCATTGCCTAATAAGCATGAAACCAATAGAATACACACGCGCACACACACACGCGTGAGCTATAATACCTGGGGAAGTATGGCACATTCTTTAGGAAATCAATAAATATCCATTTTTCATTGGAAGCAGAATCAAAGGGGACAAGTCAGAGTTCTTTATATGCATCTGCCACAGGGAGTTACAGCCCTAGGTACTCAAAGAGGGCATGCACTACAAGGACAAACACATACAGTTCAAGAGACAGTTCTAATTTAATTCTGGCCCCAGGCCTAGGACCCTAGCTAATTTACAAGGCTGCTCTAAGAAAGACACACATTTGGAGATGACAGTAAGTATATACCATTTGTTTTTCTTGCAGGGGAAGCTATAACGCATTTCCACCCTTCAAAAGAACCCCAGATCGATGATTCGGGGGTGGGGGGTTGCTGGTTAGTGGTTCTTTCTTTCTCTTTTTCTCAACTCAGAAGGTGTGTTTCCATTGTACCCTGTCAAAATTTTTCCCAGCAGTCAAGGAGTGGATAGCACATGGCTGCCCTTGAGCCGAGTTTGTAAATCCTACTGGGAAACCACCCCATGCTGTCAGATGAAGTGGTTTTCAGACACGTCTACACAGACTAGTTGAATTAAAGACCAACTCCAGACTTGATGTTGCTGAGCTCCTCAGCTCCATCTTGCCATCCTGATTGATCGAGGAGATGGGTCTATAGTTAAAGTGGCTTAGCACTTTGAGGGCTTAGTCATTAGAGCACACTGCTCTCTCTTTGGAAGGCAGCTTCTTGCTTGGCTAGGTAATGGAAGCTAAGGAGTGACGTCAAGATGTTGTCTGGCCAGAATTTGCAGATAACCATAGAACTCTTCTCCTCCATCAGGCATGGATTTAGCCTCCTTTAGTTCCTGCAGTGACATAGGAGCCTCCAAATACCAAATTATTATCAGGCGGTCTTGGGGGAACCTCTGGGCCCTGCAATAAAGTAGACAGACTTGCTATTGGAAAGTGCTCGGGAGCAATGCAGCCCTGTTCAGATTGCTCTAAAATCCTGTAAACCATCTCTGGACTCTTTAAATTAGTCCACTCACATAACTCCTGAGAGTTAAAAAGTACTTCAGGGGATATAATTGATCACCATCCTTCGCTTAAGTGATCTTACACATCATTTAAAGCAATCTGGTTTGATCCTGTTCATTTGTTTGTTTGTTGTTTGTTTTTAAAGCAAAGCTATACAAGCACGGAGACTGTGTCATTTTGGACAAGCCACTTCTGAGGGTTGTTTGTAAAATAAGGTGTATTAATTGATCTTTAAGGTCTAACTCAGGGGTCACAAACAGATGGTGGACTATGGACGAACTCTGACTCATACTGATAAAATGTATTGATTACACACAGTGTTTTAAATCTGAGGGAATTCATATAAAAATAATAAACGCTGTTCTTGCTGGAAAAATGAGAGGATCTGGTAATAGCAGGCCAATGTTCTAGTAAAGCCTTCACTATGCCACATCATCTTTCTGACCCAGCCTATTTCTCATATGACCTGCCTGATCCTGAGGTAATTAGGGGTTAGGACACTTGCTCTGAGCTATTCTATCAGGGCATGCTGTGATTATATGATTATATCTATAACCACTGGTGTTCCCAACAAGATTCCCTGACAGTATAGAACATGCTATCATCCTCACCAAATCTCTAGTTCTTTAGCATTGTAAAAGTGTTGTGGGTAGTCAATAAATATTTAATGAATTGAAATTTACCTTCTATATTAGGTTCTTACAATTCAGTGAAATGAGATGGGGCCATTCCTTGTAAGATCACATATCTATTCTAAAGCCAACCTCTTTGAATAGGATGTACATTAAGCAAAAAGAAGTAAATATGCTGGTTTGTGGCCCATGCCTCTAATGGAGTCCAAAGGTTGGTGGTGTCTTATCCATGGGGTATTTTGTTTTAAGTATATGGTAAAAGTCCTAAAATTTTTCTGAGATCTTCTTAAATTTGCTTTTCAAATGCAACATATCCAACTTCTTGGAAGACGCCTTCTTTAGAGATTCTTTGAAGGTTAGTTTGTAAAAATATTCAATGCGAATCACTTGATTGAATGCTAAACTCCCAAAATTTCATGGGTCTATAGCAACAAATCTTTGTATGTCAGATCTATGTATTTTTAAATATTTTAATTTCTGGATGACTGCAATTAGAATGTTCAAAGAAAGGGTTTTTTGTTGTTGTTGTTTTTTTTTTTGGTCAAAAGCTTTTTTCTGCTAATTTGTTATCTAAATCTGGTTAAGTTGGCTAATATATTGTTAAAAATACATCTAACAAATAAACTACTGTGTAGGCAAGTTTAATAGGAGAGCCAATGAAAAGGGCTATGGTTCATCTTTACTTGTTATAAGTCTGTTGGTAATTAATATTTCAGTAATACATAGCCACATCTGGTCAACATCTGGCCAAGAGCAAAGGTACATCATGTCCTTTGCTATGAAGGAATAGTTCAACAGATACAGTTCCTGCTCTCTAGGAGCTTACAGTCTAACCTAAACAAGACTACAGAAACACATACAAGAGAGTGGTCAGACTCAGGACTTAATAAGAGGCAACAGATACATTAAAGATAAAGGAAAAAATTATGGGATAAAGAATGACATTTAAGAAAGAATGAAGAGAAGGAAAGAAGTAAACTGCTTCTTCATTCCCATTTATTTGAAAAAGATTCATGGACAGTGCATGATGTGAAGTGTTCTTAAAATTATGAAAGAGCATATGGCTTGATGCCTGGAAGAAAGAAAACTTCCTCTGATGTAAGATGCTGTGAATGCCTGAGAACACCAAGCCGGGTAAGGACCACTGGGTAGAAGGGCCCCACAAGACTTTATAAGGAAGGGATAGCTAAATGGAGAATCAGTGGTCTAGAGCCCTCTGGTAGAGGACAGAAACTGAAGGAAGGCTACAAGTCTCCTAAACTTGCTTCACGCCTTCTAGAGAGCGGCGGCATAGAGTGGTCGAGCCACAAAAACACAACTCCTCCAAAATAACCAAAATGTGTAAATAAAAACCTTTGAAAAAAATCTCCACAGACTCTAGATTAAGGAAACCACCTTGAGAAAGTTTCTGTGAGACGTCTAAGGGCCAAAAGCACTTCCAGATAGAACTACAGACTCAGCGGCCACATAGTCCACTTTCTTTTTGGTTCTCATTTGTTGGTTTGCTTTCTTGTTCATTGGTTCATTTTCTCTTATTGGATGTGTTGGGCTGATGCTATCTACTTGGTTAGTGAGTTTTATATTTCCCCATTGACAAAGGAGAACAAACTTTTGAGGATAGGTTGATTTTTTTCAACCTCAATTATAATACAGCCTCGGGCTAGCTGAAGTATATCACACAGCCTGGTACTGATGGTGACAGGGGTGTCAAAAGACTCTCTTTCTAGAGAGCACCATCAAAATGATGACAGATTCTCCCATCATAGGACCCTGCTTTGCCTTATTCAATATCTGGCTGTTAGGCATGTAGGGTATTTCAAGGACCTCTGGAGGATGCTTATCTCTACAGAGAATGCACATTTTAAGCAGTGCCCCCATGCATCTTGTTCACACCATAATGGACAATATTAGGATTAATAATACCTTGATTTCAAACAATAGCTTTTTATTTCAAGGAGCTCAATATTCCTCATATATGGGATTCTATTTATTTTGTCATAGTGCATATTCAACTGAAATCTAAGGTGGGGTCCAGTCACATTACAAGCTCATAATCCTGTTCTTCCTAATGATTACATTCAAGTTCAAAATTCACCATACCTTGGGGTAAATTTGAATGAATAGAGAAAATTACAGGTGTTTCCTTATATACGAAAAGATACGCATTGCTAATCCCCTCTATCCTGTGAGAGTTCTTAGTGGAAAGTCAGTCCCCAAAATCTGACTTTGCAATTTTCCCACCTTATCTCTGAGGCAAGGCAGGAGAACAGTACTTAAGATGAAGTAAGAACATGCCAAACAGAGAGAAGATGCCCATTCATCAGTGTCAGATGAACCCCTGAGATCTAGGCCACCTGATGTTCTAACCCTCATGGCCCCTTATTCATGTATGAAGAAAGGCCTGTCGTTCCAATGGCATAAGCTGTTTGTCCACTGTGGTTTTATTTTTTTGTTTTCCATAAGGCTATGCTCCATTTTTTATATTTGAAGATAGGAATAGAGTCTCTGAGAGAAATCCCAAGTTTCTCAACAGAGGCTAATAGGTTAATTTGGTTCTGAGTAGTATAGGTCATTGCACTTAATATGCACATCATCTGTTGTGATATCTCTTTGCTATTGTGGCATGATAACAAACCTCATACTGGGAACAAGGACTGAACAAAGGATACAGATCTACCCGAATTGATACCACCTGTGTGCAACACAGAACCTTGCTGACTACCAGCACTGTATATTTTAATGACTTTCAATAAATCAAATTTAAAACCCACCAATTGTCTATCTTTTGTAACTGATGAATATGCAGTCTAATGATACTTCTGGTTTCTGTCTCTATCTTTTTCAAGATAAGCATGCCTCGATTCCAACTTCATGGTGACAAATGGTTTTGGAAAATGGATCCCAAGAGAAGTCCATATCTGCCCACAATTCCAAGCCCAGCAGGACACACACCCTGAGAATTCCATAAGCAGCAAACTAAAGGATCCATTCCATAGGCCCAAAGCCCCAAGAACCCTCAGACATTTCCCTGCCCCCCCCCTCAGTCATCCTCATCAGGTACTCTGATAAACACAATGATTGATACCACTCTGCAGCACGTAGGCCAGTAAGTATAAACAGCTGTACTTACATGTGTCTGGCTTGAGCTGACTGTTGGTGATGCCAAAGTACTGGGGATTTTCAATGACAGGGATCTTGGTCATTCCAATAATGACAGCATCGGGGCCACCCTCTGAGGATGATGGGGTGTTACTCCCATTGGAGATGTGGTGGAGTGGGCTGGCAGAGTCATCATCATTGCTGATAACTGAAGCTGGGCCTGGATTTGGAAAAAAATACATATTCTCCTGTAATTTTTTAATGCCCTTGTTGAGCTATAATTCACACACATAAAGTTCACCCATTTAAAGTGTACAGCTCAGTGGTTTTCAGTATATTCAGAAAGTTGTGCGGCTATCACTATAATGTGATTTTAGGACATTTTGATCATTCCAGTTAGCTTCCCCAGGCTCCCCACTCCCAGCCCCAGGCATGTGCGAACTTACTTTCGGTCTCTATGGATTTCTTTTCTGCCTCTATGGACTCATTCTGGACATTTCATATAAATGCAATCATATAATATGTGATCTTTTGGAACAGGCCACTTTCACTTAGCACATTTTTAAGCTTCATTCACATTGTAGCATGTCATTACTTTATTCCTTTGTGTTGCCAAATAATATTCTATGGTATGGATATACTACATTCTGTGGATCCATTCATCCATTGAGGGACATTTGGGTGTTTCCACATTTTGACTCTTGTGAATAACGCTGCTATGAAGCTCTGTGTACAAGTTTTTACGTGGACATATGTTTTCATTTGTCCTGGGCAGAACTGCCAGGTCATGTGGTAGCTCTCGGCTTAAAATTTTGAGCAACTGCCAAACTGTTTTCCAAAGTGCGCCATTTTCTATTCCCACTAACAATGTGTGAAGGTTCCAATGTCTTGATTTCCTTCTCCGGTAAGTTAATATGCAGCTTTGCTCTCTGTTCTCTGAACATCTTTAGAACACTCGCTCATTGAAAGTCACAGCATGAATGCAGGATTCCTGTGCCACCATATACTGAAAGGTGTACTAGCAGTTCAAAGATCTGAGTGCCTCTCTCCACTCTTTGGACAAGTCACTTACCTTTTTTTTTTGTACCTCTACACCCACTTAAATTTGTAAAATGTGCAAAAGAATATCTGCTTGTTATTTTATGAGACTCATGATAGGGAAGTATATAATAAATTTAAAAGTGTTCATGAGTATGAATTACTATTAGATATTACTAAATAAACTTACAACAGGTGGACTAAAATTTCTTTGGGTGGTCCTATTACTATGTTTGTCTTTCTGCATACCATGATAGCAGCAACACCACTCTTGCCTACAAAATACTTTCATGACGATAACGGATCGAGCCCATGCAAAGTTACCTGCTTTGCCTTTAGCCCTCCCTAATCTTATTTGTAGATCATTCCATGGATGTCTTTATACTAACGCAATAACTGTAGCATTTTTCACACAAGACTTAAACTTTCCAGTCTCAAGTCTAAGAACGTATATGCCCATAAACAGGGTCTACTGTGTCTTGTCTAAACAATTTATCTATTGACCACTAAACCCATCCTGTCTGCAAACAAAACCAGATGCACAATGACAAAGGTCTACGTGAAAGCTTCAAAACAATGAAGGTCTCGCTGGCTCATGATACACACTCTATACGTGAGACATTAACAACCCCCCTAGACATGTATTACATGTGTTTCTGCAGTTTGCTAAGTGGCTGCAGGGCCCCACGGAAATGGACTGCTGGCCACACCCGCTTGCACAAGCCAAGAGAAACACAGGAGGGAAAGGTAAGGAGGAAAAGCAAAAGACAGAATCAAATTATCAGTCAAGGCAACTGCATACCAGGGGAAGAAAAGCCTGAATTGCTACCTGCTGAGCAAGGGATTGTGCTTTCATTCACTCACCCAGGATATATACTTCCACACCTCCATCCTTTCTCTGCCCTTTCTCTCTCAGTTAATTAACGATTTCAATGAGAGGCAAGGCGATTCTAAAAACAAAAGTCATTGTGCCATACATTTTGGAGCCCTTTGGTAATCTGTCCGTCCCCCCCCCCCCCCCCCCCGACCTCCAAGATGCATCGCGCCCCCCCACCCCCCCGCCAGAAGGGGATTATCACAGTTTGCAGTGATAACAATTGGACATTCCCCAGCTAGCTGAATCTTAAACAAACTATGCAGGAGGCAGCCAAGTGCTATTATAGGTAATTTTTTAAAGCGCCTTCTCAAGGGGATGTGCATTTCAGTTGCCTTTAATGATACACTCTGGCTTAATTCTGCAAACAAGTCCTCACACAGCCAATTTAGAATCTGCAGAATACTCAGAGCGAAAGCAAGCTCGCTGGTTGTGCTCATCCTGTGCCTAGCTCACCGGCATTAGTAAAGAGTGGAAATTCTGCCAAGAACAGCTATAAAGACAAGTTCTTTCCAATATCCTTAACCATCCCTGTTTTATGATTTGCTTCCTGACAGGCCTAGATCACCCAGAGCTTAAACCCAGAGATGGAAAATGGAAATGTGTTATGTTAGGGTTTCTGCATCTTGCCAATAAAACCTTCCCACCACTGGCCCCCTTGCTGTGTTCCTGGCGCAGCTGTCTCCCCGCCTCCCCCCCCACCCCGCTCCAGGTTACCAAAGCATGCTACTGCCCGTGCTCCCCGAGGGGGGTGCAATCAAGGTTGCACATTTCTCAACGTTTACCCCCCCACCCGCCCCCCGAAATGCGGGAGCTGTCATGATCAAGTACTCCACATGTTGTCAGAAGGCCAGCGATATTTGCTTCTGGAGCCCTTGCAATCATTAGAATGCACTGATCCCAGTTGCTTTCTTCTGTGACTCTTCCCTGGCCCAGGTCAGGCTATGAACATTCCTCTAGCATTTAATCATTTTGGAGGAAGCTGATATCCAGAAGACAATGCTGAGATTCCTCCAGGAATTCGGGCTCTGAATCATCTGCCGTGTGCACCGCGGAGCCCTTACTTACAGAGCTACAGCAAGAGGCTTGTTCTTTGCTTTTCTTCCTCCACCAAAGGACACTCTTTCCTTCCCTTGGTTTCTCGGAGTAAAACCCCCAACTCCGAGGTAACAAAGCCCAAGGGAATGGGCTCTCTGTTTTTGGGAGCGGGGAGTACAAAATTAAGCATAAAGGTGGTATAAAGCACCAGAGGTCTTCTTCAAACACCTTTGCACTTTGCCAGAAGGTCGCTGTTGACAACTCTGAGCAACATATAAAGCTCAACAGCTTATCAGGTGGAATATTAATTCAAGGGCTGTTTCCTTCATCATCGGTATTCTAAATCCTGGAAGACTGATACAGCTGGCAAGGTTGCAGGGATTCAGCCCATTTTTCTATGAACATTTTGATCTAATGGAGCACAGCAAAGTTGGGAAGGGGGAGAAGCTCTCAGCAGGGACAATGAATGTCTATATAATTTGACAGCAGGCTGTCTGTGCCTATCACGGGATGTGTCACTGTGCGTCTGTGCACCAGCTTGGGGAGACACCACAAAAAGACAGACAGAAGAGTCAGGGGCACATCACAGCGTGTTATAAGAAATTCATATCAGGGTTTGAAAAAAAACGTCTTCTAATATTAATAAAAAGTTTTAAATTGCTGGGTATGTGCAACTTGCTCAGTTTGGGCGGGGAGAGTTCTAATTACTGAGCTGACAAATATGAGCTATGCCTGGAAACATTTTTAGCCCGTTTTTATTTTAATATGTCTCTGGTGCAAAGAGGCATTTTTCTTTCAGTAGAGCTGCTTGGTAATGTGTTCGGCACATCTGACTTACAGACTTTTTTTTTTTAAGATTTATTTATTTTAGAGAGAAAAAAAGTAGTGGGGGGGCAGAGGAGGAGAAAGGGGAGAGGGGGAGAGAACCTTGAGCAGACCCTGCGGCGAGCATGGAGCCCCATGTGGGGCTCGATCTCACAGCCCTGAGATCACAGCCTGAGCTGAAACCAAGGGTCGGATGCTCAACCGAATGCACCACCCAGGCGCCCCCAAGACTTACAGACATTACTAAGCCTCACACTTGTTTTCCCGCGATAAGAATTGCTGAAGGTCATCTAGGAAAAGTTTCCTTCTCTCGAGACCAACGATGTCTTTAAGGTGAGGGGAGAGACTATGGCTCTTGAGCAGCTGTATTAACCATGTCTTTTATATTCTGTATTCTGATACTTCAATATCCGGGGCCTCGCTGCCCCTCCCAGAGATAGCCAGTTCCTAGAGATGGTAAAGGACTTGCCTGAGAGCAGACCTTTCATATACAAGTCAACCGATCTGTAGTCTGCACCACCTTATCAGGCCATCCTATTCTGGGCCACTAGCCACCTGCCCTATCACCCCAGAGCCAGGCACCAGGCAACTGAGGACAGCCTGTGTGCCCCAGAGCCTGCCCAAGTTACTCAAACTAGCCGATCCTAAACCTGCTCACCCTGCCTTGCCCGTTTCTTCCCATGGAAACCACCATAAAAGCTCCTGCCCAGTGTAAAAGCTCCTCCCCCCCCCACTCCCCCTGCCTCCTGCCCGACCCCGGGGCTCCCCCAGGAGTCCCCCCACTGGGCTGTGGCTGCCCTCAGGAAGGTGAGATGGGAACATTATCTTTTCCATGGCAGTCCTTCAACCTGTTGGCCTCCCCGGACCCGAATGATAATAAAGCCTCCATTTTAAAGCAGCAGAGCCTCTGATGGACTGTGGCTCAAAGCATAATTCTGAAGAAGAATTCTCTCTGCTGGGGCCTAAGAGGGTGAAGCCCTGTTTTTGAAGTTCTCCAAGAACGCACACCTCTCAGCAGGGAAAACTGGCCTGGAAAATGATTACGTGGTTACAGTGATCTTCTGTTTGGTGGAGAGAAGACCCCACCTCACCGTGCTGTTTTAGGAGTTTATCACCCTGCTCCTTCTGCCTCCTGCCCCCCCCCCCGACCCTACACACATACAGAACGCAAAGCCTTAACACGGGGCACCATTAAGATTTCCCAGCAGGGCACTCTCTGGTATCTTGGCAAAGTGACTATGATTAGCTGTATCTGAAATGTACCCGTGGGGGAGTCATCAACAAATCCTGAGCTGGCTGAGTTTAAAAGTTCCAATTTGGCCATGTGTCTATTTTCACTTTGCTAGTTAAGAGCTTCTACCTTGGAATTCATGGGGCTACTTAAGGGTCAGTTACTGATATCAGGCTCAAAAAAGGAAAGGAAACAGAGTTCCTTGCACAGAGGG